TGAATCTTATCTACTAATTAAATATAAAGTCCATTGGCTCCCCTTGGTTTACATGGGAATGACGATTTTCAAAAATTCATCAAATTTACAGAAGAAGAAGACAAAAAATTGTGAAAATTTGTGGCATCTGAAATGAAGTCAAGTTACATTGCCATCAATATTATAAGTATTTTCCTCGCAGGTTATGTAAACAAAAATTCAAACATAAAGAGGATGGAGCTAAGGTTGCCAAACTTCTGGAGGGGAGTGTATTTGCCAGAAAGACAGAGTATTAGCCTTGCACAAATTTCAAATCGTGTGTCTAAAAAGGATTTGACAGCATTCTTTAATTAAGATAATAAAATGTTCATTTCTCAAAAACAAATTAAACTTTATAATGATTCACAAGTTCATCTAAAATGTTTTCATTTCTCAAAACGTTCATGATTGTCGTCATTTATGATAAAAAACAGCGGAACGGTGATAAAGAACGGAATGTTTTATTTTTTATTTTCAATTCAAAGAAAGGTTTTTCAGCATTCGTTGTTCTTTGTTGCAAGGCATTAAAATTTAAAAGAAACGTTTAATGCTAGAGCCTACAGAGCATAGTGTATATATTGTTATTTCAATTTGGTCTATTTGGAATTTCAGTTTCAGTTTTATTCCATTATAACAATACTATTTGTCATCTGTCACGGTGCGCCATGATTAAATAAATATTACATTCTTCAAAAACATTTGCTTAGTATTCAGTAAGTAACAGTAAGTTCATGAGGTCATTATGAACTCATCTATAACTAAATGAAATAGCAAATAAAGATCTTTTGATTTGGAATCTTTTCAAAAATCAGCTAAAAGTGTGGGAATTGCATGTTTCAGAATTTGACATATCTGTGAATGAACTCTAAAGAATGAATTGTATGTATGACAAATACAAAAAAATGCTTTTATTTGAGGTACACTTTTGAAGGGGGAGATTTGTGGATAACATAAAAAATCGAACCCCTGGTCACCAATTGCTGGCTATGCCAATGTTCTGTGGCATACCATCAAATAGTTAAGTAGAACTGGTTCAATACGCAAATTTGTCCGTATCAGAGATATCATATCTAACTATATTTTGGGGGATTCTAGAGATATATACAAACTATTTGTTCAAATCTCTTGAAATAAAACGAGAGATACCGCTCATTTTTCACAATGTTATCTTTTCAGTATTTTAGGTCCTTGACTGTGTTTTATCTCCCCTCTCCCATTTTTCGATATTTAATGTCTACAACTTTTCGACCATTTTACCTCTCTCCAAATCTAAGAGAGGTATTTACCCACGTTTTTTGTCCTAAAAAGGCAGATACTACATACATCTAGAACCCCTTTCTGGCTAAAAAATACCCTTCACTCGAGAGTTCTGAATTGCCTATACTAAGATACCTTACTTTTCACTGTACTTCTTCAACTTTGGAAACGCCGGATGAATCATCTGACCCCCCTGTCCATTAGTGTCATGATAAATACGTTGTCACAGGCTGGTATCGTAAGATTTTGTCCGTCTTTCGATACCAGCCTGTGGTTGTACACATGAGGGTTAAAAGTAAGAACAGAGGTTCTTCAACAGATCTTAAAGCTCAACTAAAGCCTTATTGAAAATTTTGGCAGGAACGGAGACATCTAGCTCGCATACTTTTCAAAAGGACCTCTAACTCTATCATTTTATATATATGACATCTATCAAAGCACACAACATTCGATTGGACATTTGCAGGAACAACATCAAGGAAGCTCGCGTACATTTGAAAAGAACCTCTATCATTTTGTATAAAATAGTATCTATCAATGCATATAGCCGCACCATGAGCAATCATGGCCTTCTATTAGCTTCACACTAGTTTGTCGTCAATATAATATGCAGGCATATTTCTGGTTGAAGACATAAAGATGTGATGAGTATCAGAATGTCATGCAAACCATACCGGTGACATTAGTAAAAACGTATCATACACAAAGAAAAAACTTGTTTGGCGGTAACATTAAATTTATTCATATTGATACACGCGAATACATGCCGCTAACGCAGACGCAAAAAATGAATATAGGGAATTTCTCAAGTCATAAGCGAAGAAACATACCAATAACCTTATAATTGAAGTAAATGATGTGGGTGGAAGGGCAAATGCTTACGATTTTTCAAGTATAGGTGTACATACGGTCGTTGCAATCTAGTCTCTATCAGAATTTTGTTTAGAAATATAATTTGCCCCTGTTGGCAAACAGGTTGGTTGTTCAAACCATGAATGACCACTTTTTGTTTCCTAAATGAATTTGCACTTATTTATATGAAATACAGTACATGAGCTATTGGAATGATAGGCTTGTTGTTTATGTAATCAATTGGCTATTACAAATATTTTAGAAAAAGCCGATTTATTAGAGAAATTGATTTGTATAGTTTTACAACACATTTATCCAAAAATAAATAATTAAAATGAGTATGATTGGCAAAAATTAGTTTATTCTTTGTTGTTACCCTTTGGCACCACGCTTAACCCACAAGATGGCAGAAACTACAATAAATTAAACTTTTATCATCCGAACATGTTTTACATTAAACCACTGTCAAAATGAAACTGTTTCTTACTACATCAAAGTATAGATCAGACGACCATGATTTGTATTTACCAAAGCAAAGAATAGGAACTTACATGACAAATTGTTACAAACTAGTTTAAATTAAAACGTGTTACAGATGCCAAACGCCGATACTAAACACTGAACGCTCCTCACAAAATACTTTGTATCTTAGATAACATTCAATGGATAATTAAACACATGCCATTGTGTAAGATATAAAACATAATATTTACTGTGACAACGGCATGTATATTGAGAGCCTGTGTCAAGTCAAGGGGTAAAACATTTTCGCGTCAGTGTTTGTAAAGTAAATACTGAATTGATTGACTCCATCGATCTAGAGTTGAACGTGTATATTATTCTAGGCACTATACAGGGCGTCCAGAAAAAAGTATACCCAAATTTAAAACCAAATTACTGGAATCCTATGTAGTTTTTTTTAAATACAAAGGTAGCAGTAAAAAGCCTGATTTGTTCTCCATCAAATGGTAGCAAGATCATCATTTAACTGTCATGTATGACTGAGTAATCTTGAGAAGTGATTAAATTAGCACTGTGCCAAGTTACCTTCCTGTGTGGCAATTGATGTGTAATTGGCACAGTATTCTTTTTTATGTTACAATAAGTTAGATGACAGGCCTTCCATACTGAACTGGACTTGGGACTGAGTAACTCTCATATGAAAAAAGGTTTTGCAAAAAGCTGAACTTCCAAAATAGGCCTGCAAAAATGGTTCACCTGACACCTGAGCAGTAAGAACCATCAAAAACTTCTAAAAAGCAAGTCTCATGTATTGTTTATAGAACCCATATTCTTACTATTGAAATAGATTCTAGCAATGCTGTCCTATATTAATCTACTTCTTCAGACTCAATAAACTCGAGTTTTTCTCAGAAAATGGGGATTTCTCCAGGGTTATTGACTTTACAAGGGGGTACAATTGACTTCAAAGCTGCATATCATCAAGTAGAAGTTACATTGCTGATCAAAAGGCTCTTCGGATCCAATTTCTTGAGAGGGAGGTACAAACAAAAAGTTATGGAAAATTATGTAAAAGTGTGAAGAACACGAATCAAGTTTGAATTTGAACATTAATAATGTTTTGAAAACCAAAAACATCCACTTTGCCATTCCTACTTGAATTCTAACTTGGCACAGTGCTGATTTTACAACCTTTCATTAAAGTTACGATTGCTCAGTCATTCATGGCAGTTACATAATGATCTAGGTACCATTGCATGGAGAACACAATGGGCCTTTTACTGCTACCTTTGTATTTAAAGTGCCCGATAAAGTATAAAATGCGCATGCGTCCAGGTGTTGATAAACTATAAATAGCGAAAATCCAGGGTTTGTCACCACAAGGTAAGCCAGGACGTGTTGAGAGAACAGCTAGTGTTGATATTGAATTTATATGTAGCCAGATAAGTTTCCTTATTGATATTACATATGGCTATTAGCAATACTTTGTAGGTGCTAAATAATAAAATATTTAGAGTATATATGAGAGAAATTGGTCATTTCGAACCTGTTGAAAAGTTTGTGGCTCTCGGCTACACCGGGGAATTTACTTCCATGAGTACACACATAAATGTGGGGTTCCCCAAGAGGTACGCGACAAGGTGACCTGGCATCAAATGTGCGACTAAATGCTACTATCGAGAAGATAAAATAACGAATACGACAATAAGTTATTGCATGTGACAATTCCGAGCCTTCATCTCACTGAAGTATTTTGAAGTGAAAATAGGATTTTTGTTTTGATACATGGATTCAGATGAACGTAACTTTATTCTGACAACTAATCAAAACTGATCAAAATTGATTGTACGTAACAGACAATTTATTGTTTTACAATGTTTTGATTGGCTAAACGAATGAAACCAACAAATTATGACATGTGAAATGACAATTTTGAAATGCAAAATTTAAAAGTGACAAACACAACCTCCCTATTCACTCTTTGGGAGCCCTAGTAAATTAGTAATATGTACATGCAGCAGTGGTAGTGTGCAGCTTATTATCACACTACGCTTTGTATTCTAAAGCCTGTTGTTTGTAATAACACTGTTCAATCAACGTATGTTTTGTGTGTGGGCAGTCAACGATAATCATTGTTTTATCCCGGTAATATGACCTCGGCAATTATAACAAAACCGTACTAAACGAAAAAACGCAAATAAGAGAAAGCTTTCACACACATATAAAAAATGAACTAGTCTAATCCGCCAGTATAAACTCTGTGCTATACGTAGCCGGGTCAGGCGCACACTTTAAAGGAAAATGTTTAGAATTTTAGTATCCTTGCTTTGAAGTTGGGTATACTTTTTTTGTTGACGCCCTGTAGATCATATACTACGCGCGTCTTTCGCTCTGCCGTCTTTCCCTTTGGACTTTGATTCGAGAACACTTTGCCTTGAAATTTTAAATATTAAGGATAAGTGCGTAAAGAACATGGCAGGGACAGATTTTCAAACTGGTAAGTATAAAACAAAAAATTAATTAAACTAGCCTAATTAATAATTATAGTATATCAAATTAATTTATAACGCGCCGTCCCGCCTTAAAACCCCTGTGACTGAAAACAGTAGTTTTATAAAATAGTTTTGTTAAAAGTCGCCACAAAAGTGATTTTAGACTGTCATATCTTTAACCATGAGTATTTTTTTTTACCATAAATACAATGCTTTCTATTCAAACAATATGTTTTTTTTCAAGTGAAGTCCCAATGATAGTAAAATACCAATCCAGCCCTCTGAAAAATTAGAACCCCATCTTGAAACTTTTTTTAAAATGTTAAGCTTATTTTCTAAAGAGATGATCTTGTTTTTTCAATTTAAACATATCAAAAGTCTCTTCTTCACTATTATTAACAATTTTTGAAAGAGGATGGGTTTTGGAATGCGCTAAAGTTGAAAACCACATATCCCATGGACTGTCATATCTTTAACCATGAGTATTTTTACGATAAATACAATGGTTTTTATTCAAACAATATGTTTTCTTTCAAGTGAAGTCCCCATGATAGTAAAATACCAATCCAGCTCTTTGAAAAATTAGAACCCTATCTTGAAAATTTTTTAAAAATGTTAGGCTTATTTTCTAAAGAGATCGGTGATCTTGTTTTTTCAATTTAAACATATCAAAAGTTTCTTCTAGACTATTATTAACAATTTCTGAAAGAGGATGGGTTTTGAAATGCGCTAATGTTGAAAACCACATATCCCATGTTTTTTTCAAGGTAAAACTCATGCTATCCATTGTTTTTAGCATAATTCTGGTCATCGAAAATTGATATCTTCAAAACTAGGCTTTCAAAACCATTTTACTTTTGAAGAAGATTTAAACCCCTTGTGGAATAATATTTTCATGCAATAAAAATCAGAAAAAGAAGATCCTCTATCGACCCATCCATCCCACCACCCACCCGTCCACCCGTCCATCCGTCCACCCGTCCGTCCATCCATCCATCCATCCATCCATCCATCCATCCATCCATCCATCCATCCATCTGGCTAGTAAATACAACACCGTTATATTTACCATTAATGAATGATAAATAATTCATAAAAAGTAAGATTTATTCATGAAGAAAAATACTTATGTTTATCTTAATAAGCATTTAGAATAATGTTGATAAACTTTACACATTTTTTAGCATGATTGCATCGCAAACACAATGAATAGTATTCGCTTTTTTATTGTTACAAAATTTATTGCGTCGTTCCGAATATGGTTCAGGGTTCACTACTACATCATATTTACATTTTGAGGAGAGAAGAAGAAAGCATTTAGACCTGACGTAGGTTAAAGAATAGAATTTACTGTATGAAGTAAGAACATTCACTTACCAAATATTTTTTCAAGTTTATACAATGGCATTGTTACCACTATTCATGGCTTTCGTTTTGGCAAGATGACATGTAAATATTTTCCTCTGTTTATTCATAGTAGGCTTCTAAAAGGTTTTTGAAAAACTAGACGTCTGTGTTGATTTTGTTGTCTCGTTCGTCAAAACAAATATCCTTGTTTCTAACGAAACCATTCGTCATTTTGTTGACTTACTTTAATTATATAAATGAAGCATACACGATCATTAGACTCCAGATTTTCATCTGGAGTCTATTGCTTTTGCCTGTTTTCTTTCTTTCTTCTTCTTCTTCTTCTTCTTCTTCTTCTTCTTCTTCTTCTTCTTCTTCTTCTTCTTCTTCTTTTTCTTCTTTTTCTTCCTCTTCTTCTTCGTCTTCCACTTCCTCTTCCTCTCCCTCCTCCTCCTCCTCCTCCTCCTCCCCTTTTTCTTCTTTTTCTCATCCCCCTCCTTCTCATTTAAGCTGCTTATATGGTAAATTTGGGAATGCGTCTGGAATCATGGGAAATTAGGTCAATATTTTATCTAGGTCAAAGTTCAAGAACTAGGTCAAATCTTGTGTTTTTACTATTTGACCACTTTTCTAAATCGTCCTTCAATATTTTCGCTCTGTTTTTGCATCATGTATCTTAGAAATAACCTAATTCCGAAAGCAAATCGTTTTTTGATCACTCTTACAGTTTTTGTAAAATAAGTGTCAAAATGTAGGTCAGCAGAAAAGTTCTCCCAATTCAAAGTATGACTTATGGAACAAGTGAAATTTTTTCTCAGGAATTCAAATCTGCAAATATTGATCCAACTTTCGGTTTGAAAGTAATGGCGTTTTGAAATCTCAAAAATCACCATTTTGATGTCCTATGTTAAGGTAATGGGGCTGAAAAATTATAAGTTGTAAAAACACGTCATTAAGACTGGATGCAGCCAACTTAATGAAAGCCTACAATAGAAGTGGACCTAAAAATTGACTTTGCTTCAAAATTTGGAAACAAAATGGCCTAGGTCAAAATCTAGGTCAAATTCATATTTTTTCCTTATTTTTTCGAATCTGACACTGCACTTTTTTAATATTCTTTGAAATGTAATAAACAGATAGCAAAGAGCACGCTCGTGGTGTTAGCCTTTTGCCGTCAGAAAGCATTTTGACCCACTTTTGAGATATGGTGTCCAGAAAGTAGGCCAAATAATATTCTCCAAATTTAATGTGTGAGTTATGAAATAAGAGTAAAATTTCCAAATCCAAATCTGAAAACCATTATTCGATCCCACTTCCGGTTTGTAAGTTATGGCATTTTGAAATCTCAAAAATCGTTATTTTACTTTCCAATGTTACTTCAATGGGGCTGAAGAATATTAGGAATTGAAAAAAATACGAGTTACATCCTGGATACAGCCAACTTAATGAAAGCCTTAGAACCAGACCTCAACATCTACTTTGCTTTACAATTTGGACAATAAACAGATAAAAGGCCTAGGTCAAAATCAAGGTCAAATTTACATTTTTCCTTATTTTATGATTCTGACATTACACTTCAATAATATTCTTCGAAATTTGGTATACATATAGCAAAGAGTATGCTTATAGCGTTAGCCTTTTGCCGCCTGAAGTATTTTGACCCATTTTTGAGATGAAACCCATCGATTTTGATCACAAAGAAATATTTTTACGAAACATCCATAGGCCATGAATAATACGACTTTTTGAATTACAGGTGGATTGAGTGAAGAGGTACAGTTACAGGAGGCCATGAAGCGTAGCCTTAGTGATATAGGAAATGGAGCTGATCAGAGTTGCATGCAGAAACAAACGGAGATGACCAACGAAGAACGTATAGCTGAAATGGTCCGACGTAGTGAAGATAAAGGTATGATAGGAATGCTTTGGGCTCACATAGCATATAGCACATACACCCAGAGAGAATAAAAAATTTTAAAAATTAAAACGCGTCTCCTTCAAAGGGGATAATATTGGATACACATTTTATTTGCATGTTCATGAATATCTCTAAGAGCATAACATCGATTTTAAAAAATCAGTTTGTTTTTTGGTCGGAAAAACTCATCAACTACATGTGCTTGTCTCTACAAGAGGATCCTATTTGCAAGTATATACAAGTATACGAGTTCTAATAACTAAAAGAACAAATCGTGATAAATAATTTGAGAGTTTGGGGCATTTTCCCTCATATAAAAATATACTAAACAGGGGGTCATTCAAAGTGATTTCGTAAAGTTAAGAATGTCCAAATAAACTGTTGAAACAATGAATACAATTAGGTAATAGAAAAGAAACAATGGATTCTTAACTTTTAAAAAGCTTCTGTTAATTACATTAGCATCTTCAATCGACATATCGTGAAAATGCATAAAAATGATTGACTTTATGTCTTAGATTATGCATGCTAAAACATGTCCCTGGCTCAGATTGATCTACTTTACTCCGGGTTTGTAGAAAAACTGGGTACCGGGTAGTAAATCATCCATGCTGGCTTCAAACTTGGTACCCGGTACTCGTCGAAAAGGTAACAGGACAACTCATCCCTAAGACAACTCATCCCAAGACAACTCATCCCCAAGACATCTCATCCCAAGACAACTCATCCCAAGACATCTCATCCCAAGACATCTCATCCCAAGACAACTCATCCCAAGACATCTCATCCCAAGACAACTCATTCTCAAGACAACTCTTCCCAACTTGAAATATAAAATAATTTTAGACAATTAATTTTAACTTTTGAAAGAATATTTCAAACATTTTAGAGATTTTAGCAGTAAGCACACTGTGTTTGGCCATGGAATATATTTTGTATTTTGTAGTTAGTTTAGTCTAGTTTTAGTTAATTCTTGTTGATTGATTGAGATAAAGATAAACATGTTCAAATTAATATAATCTTTGATTATTAAATCAAAGATTATCAAGGGTGTCAGATGTGGATTAACGCAATAAGAATGTATTATCCGGATAATTATCAGAATAATTCTTCCAGATTAATTCAGTCTTTGTTTTAAATGTTTTGTTTAATTCCAACGGAACGTAAAAGTAGAACATAACTTTCAAGTGCCATTTCGAAATGCTAAAAATGATCAATATTAAGTTTGAGTGTATAATCAAATATCACTTTGTAATCGTAGAAATTAAAAAAGGGATATATATAATATAGAGGACTAATTAAATAATTTATCAATTATACTAGTGGGATGACTTGTCTTGGGATGAGTTGTCTTGGGATGAGTTGTCTAGAAACCGTCGAAAAACCGAGTTCCGAAAAAACGAAAAATACGAATATATAACATATATATCATTTGAAAACGTGTAAGATTTGTTTTGAATTTACAAAAATGTATGTAACTTCCTTCAAAATTGAGTTAGAAGCTTCGAATAAAAAGCATTTTAAGGCTATTTTCTTCCTCTATCATCATGGTCACATATCCGTTGGTTATGGGGGAGGGGGAAGGTGCAATTGCACAATCGCACCCCCTCCTGGCTACGCCTATGACATTGTAAGACGATTTGAAAAACATGACAAATCAATCTTACTCTATTTTCAATAGTTCGTATGTTGGTACGTGAATTGTTTTGATTATAACTTAAATCTATATAGCTATCGTTACTTTAGCAGAGAGGTGACGTGTGTAAAATGTAAGGTATGGCAAGCCATTTTCAAAGGGCTATATCTTTAGTTCGAAGAATAAGTTAACCACAAAATCAAATGGTTCTGTAAGATCCTTGTCTTATCTTCAATAAATGACATAAGGATGATAATCAAGTTGATTGAATTATCTCTTAAGCTGTCCCTAATCCACCCATCCTCACCAATTTTCCCTAATTCAGATGCAATTTTCACCAAAAGTGCAGGCCTTTTTAATAATTTTTAGTGCAAAGTTGTATTGAACTTTAAGACATGATTTTAACTGTTAAGGGGAAAAGTTAATTGTAAACCTACTTTTTGATATTTTTTTCGTGATTTTTTCGTATTTTTTTCTGATATTTTAAAGTGCTTCATACTAATATTATACAATTACAAAATAGAGGGCAGCTAAGTGCCATAAATAATTTGTTTGTTACAACACTCAGCTAGTGATTATAATCCTGTATTTAACCTTGTATTGTTTGTGTATAAAACAGTTGTGTCATTCACGTATAGCTATTTATATACTGAATAGTTCTTTGTCATTACATGTGCCTGGTTTTGGCTATTCAACCTAGATTCTTTGTTATATTAGCACTCTCCCATGTATACCGTTCCGTATTTGTGATCGTGATGACATTAATACGGAATAAATCATACCATTTCATGAAAAATGGTGACCTTGTCCTACGGAAATTGAGATTATGTTTCACAGCAAGTTCACACAGCGATACTGTATAGCACATGCTCTGGGGAATTGATTCTACTTTCTATAGACACTAAACACATCTCTGTCCATAGAATAATAAAAAAGCCTTAGGGCCCCAACCTCCTTTGTTTACATTAAGAAAAACGTGAAAAAAGACAAAAGTTGTCATAACTTTTTAAATCTTAATCTGTTGAAACCGATTTCACTTGCTAGCGACAGATACTTTCGTCTTTCACGAACCGAACATGTCAGTTTGGTTCGTAATGTCTCCAAATAAACGATTTCAACATTTTGAAAAACTCGATGCTGGTCCACGTGTTAATACGGAATGGGTAAACGGTTTCCAAGTGTTAATACGGAATGGGTGTTAAATCGTATACATTCCCGGGGAAATCATAATTACCATAAAACTTGCAATGATAATTGTTCTGATAGCTTATTGATGGACATTGGACAGTATCTTATTGCATGCAAATGGCACATTAATCGACGGCGTCAACACGTGTGTCAATCGCAAGGATTGAATGTACATAATTAGTGTTTTCTTCTTTTTTTCTTGAGTATTAAAAGATAATTTGTACATCGACGGCGTCAACGCGATAGCTTTACGCCCATTAATAGAAAAGATAGGTTATTGTACTTTTTCTTATTGCATCTAATAGGTAGTACTTTATCGACGGCTTCAACGACCGTCAACACCAGGTATTGGTTGTTCATAAACATTTTCATTCTTTTTTATTATTGTATGTAACAAATAATTTCATCCCTTTATGTAACATTCATGTGGGGGAGTCCCGGACGCCAACTGCTTGGCTTGAAACAAAATAAAATCTTGAATCTTGTATTACATGTAACCACAGCAATTCTTGTGGATATAAAAAACATGATAATAAAAGCACCAACAAACATCTGAGTGATTTGTTTACCGAGTTTGACCCAGTTCACCATACGTTAATCCTGTTAATTAGCTGTACTAAGTTTATAATCCCAAATTAATCATGCGCTCCTTATCAATCCCCTCAATTATTTACCATGAAGTGTTAACTATCCCACACCGCAACGCCCAAAGAACTGCGCGAACACAGATGAGGTATATTATTTTACGTCTATTTTCAATTCTTATAAGGATACCAAATCATGTAGGCTAGTCAGGCAAACCTTTTTTCGTAGCGGTTATCATACTTTCATCAAAAACCTGAACCCGCTTTTCAAGATGGCTCGAGTGAAGTTATAATTGAAACTAAATGTCCATGCTACTGAAACCCGTATTCAAGGTATTATGTTTCATACTCCGGGTTAAAACACACTCATATTGTATAACACTACTAATTATTTTAATCTTCATTTCATTCACGAGTGCACCGTTTCGTTCATTGAGCTTACTTATTGAGTCGACCAATTCCGTATTAACACGTGGACTAGCATCGAGTTTTTAAAAATGTTGAAATCGTTTATTTGGAGATATTACGAACCAAACTGACATGTTCGGTTCGTCAACGACTAAAATATCTGTCGCTGGCAAGTGAAATCGGTTTCAAAAGTTTAAGATTTAAAATGTTATGACAACATTTGTCATTTTTTCACGTTTTTGTAAATGTAAACAAAGGAGGTTGGGACCCTAAGGCTTTTTTATTATTTTATCGACAGAGATGTGATTGGTGTCTATAGAAAGTAGAATCAATTCCCCAGAGCATGTGCTATACAGTATCGCCGTGCGAACTTGCTGTGAAACATAATCTCAATTTTCGTAGGACAAGGTCACCATTTTTCATGAAATAGTATGTATTATTCCGTATTAATGTCAACAATTTCACTAATACGGAACGGTATACAAGGGAGAGTGTTAGGGCAGGCTGAAATGAATAAGTGTGAAAATAAAATGAATTACAGGGTGAGGCAAAAATGTCATCCAAAGAAATGTTATTAACTCATTCATCCAGTATGAGTTGAAATCATATTTACTTAATTTTACTATGTAAAATCTTTTTGCATTTTACCATGTTTCATGGGTTCATTCCTCAAGGTCACAACAGGGCCAATTAAACTTAGTAAAATGAAAGAACATTAAACAAGGTTTTATTATGCGAAATATAGTATTTATAATGTCATATGTTGGGTAAAAGGCGATGATTTAACCTACTTTTGATGGCAAATTCCTTTTAAAGTGTCTCACATATTCGATCAAAATTTGCCATGCAAACATGTTAGTCTACTTTACTGGCCCCCCTCAGTGGCGGATACAGGGGGGTGCGCGCGGGACGCGCGCCCCCCCCCCCCCCCCCTAAAATCCGGCATAGATGGACTAATATCAAACAGAAATACATGTTTTCAAGCAGAGACATTTGAAAAAGTATATGAAAAAACAATAACGTGTCAACAATAGGACGTTGGAACTTTGAAGGCAGCGTAAATTCAAAACTTCGCAAATTAATAAATGTTAGAACACCAATTTTATAATTGTAAAACGTCTTTTTTGATAGTGGTAATAGATGATATGCTTCAATTTTAAAATGCCTCCGATGCA